GGCCGGCCTTCCGGGGCGGGAGGGGGGCGGGCAGGTGTTGGCGCGCGGCGGTGCGGGCCCCCGGGCGCCGGGGACGGCCACGACTCGGGGATACGTGCCTCGGCGAACATGGTACAGGGGACACCTGGCCAGGGCGCATGCGCCAGCTCCACCGTCAAGGGTGCATGCCCTCGCCCTCGGCAAAGGCAGCACGCCATGCGGTGCGGATGCACATGCGCGCTCTGCGCCTGCCCGTGACGCTCCCTTCCGGGGCACCCTGACACAGCGACCGCCTCGTGGCTGGATGTCGGCCGTGTGCCCCCCGGCCGCCGGGAGCGCTGTGCTCCCCTGCCCGGCCGCCTGCATGCGCGGCTTGGCTCTTGGCCTGCCTGCCGGCGGGTGCACACGGCAGACGCGCCCTGCACCGCGAGACGACGGAGTGGAGGCGGAGGGCCGGCTTCGGCCCTTTACCCATGCGCACTCTCGCCCCCCCCCCCATGCACACACATGCCCACGAGATGTACACAAAATACACGCACAGACACACGCACACGCGTCGGGGCATGGGGCCGCCCGCGGCACCCTCGCCCACGTAGACATTTGCCCGGGCATGTGGGGACAAATGCGCGGCGCGCACACCGGGGCACGGCGCCTGGGTCGGCAAGCCACCCCCTCCCCCCCCCCCCCCCCCCCCCCCCCCAGGCCAAACCCCTACGGCCGCGCCGGCAAGGTCCTTCTCATAGGCACCCCCACCCCCCATGCACGGCCGTGTGCGCGTGCTCCTCCCGATGAGGCTGCTGATGATGCCGGAATGCATGGCCCAGCTCCTCCGAACGGGGGCGGCCGGGAGTTTGCATGTGCGTCTGTGTAAAGCACACCAAACACAGGACACAGCACACACACACACACACACGCATATGCGCGAGACGCCCACGCACAGATGCCCGGGGTGCACATGCGCGCAGGGGGTGCGGCGCAGAGCACGAGCATGGATGGGGCACCCCCGGGGCCCGGGAGCACTCCCCCCCCCCCCCCTACCCCCGGCTGGGCGCCGAACACGCCTGACGCAGGGCACAAACCGCACGGTCGGCCCGGGGCGGGACGCCGCGCACGGCCGCCGCCCTGTGGGGTAGGGGCCCGGCCGGCGGCCGCGGCACTGCGTCGGCACCCGATGACGTGGATGCCAACGAATGCCGCGCTAAATTCGGTGCGGCGAATGGTATTCCCGGGGCACAGTTGGCCCCCGATTTTGAAACGCATTTGTTGGCGGCTTGGTAACAGAGCCGTGGGCGTTCTGCGGCCGCGGGCGGTCGGATGGCCAGGCGG